GCAAGGATTACAGATAGGTACCCGTACATCTGACTTTACTTTCTATTTGTAATGTTGGCTTCTAGAAATTTCTTGTCATTTGTTACTAAGCCCTCTATAGTTTTGTTTAGTACAAGTGAAAAATATAGGTCAAAGCTCATTGGCCTATGAAAAAAAATAACAAATGTCAGAACGCTAATATTGTGTACATTCTGATTCTAAATGAGTATCATTTTCATTTTAAGGAAAGGTGGAGCCTGGTCCTACAAATAGGATTTGTTTCACACATTTCATACTAAGTCTCAGTGAACGGAGTTCAGAGGGAAGAACAAAGGCATATAGTGTGTTTATGGTAGGTTTTTAAAATGGGAAGCCAAGAAAAAAGAGTCAGGCACTGGGAGACGTTCCTCCGAAGGAGAGGTTCTTGAAGGAACATTGGTCAGATTGGGCATAATCTCGAGGAGGCCAAGTCTTCATTTTTTCACATGCTGCCCTCCACCTCCGTTTCCTGTGCCCCAGAAACACCCATGTTGTTCACTTTGGCAGTTTAACAATGTTTTCTCTCTCCGTTTACCTTTATGCCTCCAGATATTTTTATCCAAATAAATAAATCGGTCCTATGATACATGTGGTAATGGCAGTGTCAAAGGGTGATGGTGTCACCTATTTAATTTTCTAAAATACGCAGCTACCACTAGTTTTGTAACTTGCACTAAACTGGACCCTTTAAAGCCTGATTTCGTATTTCATACCAGCCCCATTATTACTAATGATGGGCCTCTTACAGAATAGAAAGACTAAGAACCCTTTGAACTGTTATGTAATTCCATTGTAGTTCATTAGTCTGAATACCCTGTAGCTTTTCTGCACCCCCAAAGTGTTGATTATTTCTTAAATCATACTCTTCTGGGACATGTTTCTTACCTTCCCTTGCTGTAATCTATGGGCGAGGTACGAACGATTTTCTAAGATGCCTAGGAAAGCATTTGTCTTGATGGTTCTGCTGCATTGCCTGTGCTCTTTCTCACCTTTCTCTCCCTTGCTTCTTCCTCCTCCTCTTCCCATGCTTCCTTACTCTTCAGTAGGCCGTCCGATATGCAGTGGGTGTTCACTAAGTACTCTTAAGAGATCTGTTGACAAGATACTCTTTTAACCGTAATCTGCTATTCCTGAAAAAAAGACTCCTGTTATAGTCTTAAGAATAATAGTAATTATAGTGCGTCATCTTATTACTCTCTGTCGTTTAACCTGCTGTTGATTCAACAATGCTGATATATGGCAAGATGAGTTAATATTCTATATATAGAGACCCTGTAATTATGCTCCTCTGTTCATTAATGCACATCTTTTTATGAAGTTAAAAGTCTTCACATCTCTGCCTGATTCACGTCATGTGGTAATTTCTGAAATAGGGTTTCCATCAACTTGCCCAGGACTGTTTCCCAGTAATGGATTGCCACTGGCCCCTTCACTGCTCTGCCTCAGGTAGTTCTCTTTCTCTCTCTGCATCAGGAAGATGAAGATTTTACCTTGCAGGGAAGGGGACTTCTGCTTTCCTGGGAACAAGAAGCAGACATTGCCGGGCATGGCGGCGCATGTAATCCCAGCATTCTAGCAGGCCAAGGAAGGAGCATCACAAGTTTGAGCCCCACCTGGGCGACTTAGTGACCTCCGTCATCACTGTCTCAAAGTAGAGAGTGAGAAAAGGGGGTGGGTACAGGTCAGTGTAAAGGCTTTGAGTCTAGTCCCCAATACGGGGCAAAAAAAGTAGCAAACATTATCCTTACAAATATTTAAAAATTAATGTGTTAAAATTTACTTACCAACTGCTACTGTGTGCTTGGTGTTATTCTCAGCACTTTACCAAAATTAGGCTTTTTTAACACTCGCAAAGCTTTTGAGACGGGTGCTGTTACTATGAGGAAACGGAAGCAGGAGACTAAATACTTCCCCCAAGATCACGTAGAGTGTAGGTGATAAGGTCAGGAGCCAGGAGCTAGACCCGTGTAGTCTGGCTGCGGGCTTGAGGCTTTTAACCATACGCTTGTGTCTCCACCATGAAAGGTAATTCTGCAGACAGGAGTTACGCATGGTCAGGGACTCTTTGGGAGATAACATTCTCCCAAAATATTAATAGATGCCCCAGCACACTGCTTAAAAGAAAAATAATAGTAAATTGAGCAAAACGTTGCAATCTGTTTAGGCCCAGAATGTCTGTGGAGTAAAGCAGTTCCGGTATATTCGGCCTTGACAGGCCTGATTGAGCCCCCAGCCAGCTGCTGTCAGAGCCTCCCCAGCCACCTGAGTGAGCCACCTTGCAAGGGGAGAGGCCCCAGGTGAGATGCTCCAGAAAGCCGTAAAGAGCACAAAAGTAAAATAATTGACAAATGCTTTAAACCATTAAATGATACGAGAAGCCACTGAATACTAATGGTAAGAGTGTTAGTATAATGATGTTGGAGTTACTACCATCCCTGCCAGTTTATTTATCTGTGTTTGCCTTTCCCAGTAACTTAGTGAAGAATGTCCAGCCACACTGCAAAGAGCGAGGGGGATGGAAATACTGTGGTCCTCTCTGTCAGGAGCTGTCTGCCGCAAAACCCAACTATCAGAAGATCCCCCCATACATAACCGTCTCAGTCCCTTTTATTTTACCTTAGCTAAACAAATTCCATTCTTTTTTTACCATCTTGTTGATAATGTTTTCATTTAAGTCTGCATGTATACTTACGTATGTCAACTTTATCCTCTCCTTGTCTTTGCCTGAATATATTGTGGTTCGTTTCACTAAAATTGTACTTTAAAAGAACCTGCCTCCTATTAGAAGAATAAGATTCTTTACTTTAAAAAAAATAAGATTCATATCTAACTCATATTCTGGATTACATTACTATGGGCATTTACTGATAAAGGATGGTAATTTATTCCCTTCCTAAAGGTAGCCCAGCAGATAATGAGAAATATTCAGAACAAGTTAGGAATGACTTGCTGTTGACATAGGTGTGAGTCGACTGCTTTATACTTTAAGAGAAGCCTATTAAGTATTAATTTGTTCAACTAATATTTGTTGAGTACTGTGTCAGGTGTTGGGTTTACATTGGCAGATGGAGTCAGAAATGGTCCTGCCCTCGTGGACCGTGCTGTCATAAGTGAGGAAGGTAGGCACTGATATGTACGCACCAAACTTGTAAATGTAAAACTCAACTTCAGTAGTGGTGAGCGCCATAAAGGAAGGGAGCTCTGTGGGTATGTGAAGAGGAGTCTGACCTCGTCTTCTCCCATAAAGTCTTGGCAGAGACCCGAAGATAGAGGTGACATAATCTTACCCAGAGACTCAAGAGTGCGTGTGTCACATCCACGCGTGGATCCTTGTGCAGACATCTGTGGACACATCGCGCTAGCTGACTGGCATTTCCAAGGGAATGCTCACTTAATTTTAAGTAGTGGTGATCAGTATAAACAAGTACCTTTCAAGGAAAGGATACAGTACTGAGTTCAGCAGTGGTTCTTCAGGTATGCCTGGTAAACCTTTGTGTCCCCTTCCATGATATCTGTGAAATCAAAATGATTTCTGTAGTAGTAGTAAGACGTTATTTGGGCTTTTCACATGCCTTCTCGCTTGGAGTTTTCCAGAGGCTGGGTGGTGTGATTTCACCTTAACAGACTGAATGTAGAAGCATATAGGAAAATTCAGCTATGATTTATTTAAGCCAGACATTGAAAAGCATTGCAAAAGCATGAAAGAACGTCATTCCTCTCACCATTTCTTCGTTTTCTTTTGGAAAATGTGTTTTCATAATGTTATCATTTTCACTTGTAATGAGTCTATTTTTATTCTAAATGAATATGGATCTCTAAAATTTCTGTTTTTATTTCTGATAGGGTAATTATCTAGATATAGCCCACATCAAAGTTCTTTTGGGCCCTCAATCAATTTTAAAAGTGTAAAGGGATTTTTGAGACCTTAGAGCCACTGAAATACAGCATCTACTTGGCTTTAAGCACGTTACTTAATCTCTCTGAGGCTGTCATTGAAATGGGGATGATGATCAAAGTACTTCCTTCATAAAAGGATTACGGGAGTTAATATATGTCAAGAGCTTACAACAATAAGTGGTACAGTGTCAACATTCAGTATATGTTAGTTCCTGTGATTGTTACCGTTCACCAGAAGAGCACAGTGTCTGTGAATCCAAACACGATTGAAGCTTTTTGCTTGTGTTTGTGGCCATCTATTATTTTAATGTAAAACAAAGTTTTTAAAAAGAAAGAAATTGGACCTTACTATTTTTCACTTGAGTTGAATGATAGGAGGACTTAGAGGCAGGGGGCAGGCGCGTAAGTCTGGAAGTGGAAATGGAAGCATCAGACTTCCTGCAGTGCTGTATCACATTCCCTCTGCGTCCCTCTCAGCCCTCTCCTCACAACCAGGGCTTTCCTTTGTCCAGAGTGACCGCGAACAGGTGGGAGGTGTTCTTTAGAAAGCTTCACTAAAATTGGGGTAGGTGTTGAGGCTGTAGCATCCAGATGCAGCACCAAAATGACACACAGTAGAGCATCTTCAGCCCATACTTTTCAGGTGGAGAAACTGAGGCCCTGAAGAGTAATTGGCCCACAGAAGCTCCCCGGCATAGTAGAGGCCTGGTCAGGACAAGACCGAACTCTGATTTGGAATGGAAAGAATATCAAGTTTAGCATCAGAAGAACTGGTGTTAGTCTCACACTAAGACTTTATTGTTTGTCAGACATGCTGAGCAATGTATTAAGTCTCTGAGACTGAGTATCCTTCTTTATAAAGTGGAGGTAGGAGTATCTGCCGTATTATAGAGGCTTGTGGAAAGGACCAGCCAAGGGGTCACACAGAGGTACTGAGTATACTTTGTTTAGGTAGTGTCCTTCCAGTCTTTGGCATGTAGTCCATACAGGGCACTTTACGGTGAAACGGTTCTTTCTGAAACCTCAAAGCCTGCCTTAACTGTTCTACTTTTTAGCTTTGTAACATTTTCTTTTTTCTTTTTTAGGACAGCCCAGAAACTTGCAGGACCTGTGCCGAATTAAAATTCGACAGTGTATAGGCCTTCAAAATCTAAAGCTACTTGATGAACTACCAATTGCCAAGGTCATGAAAGACTACTTAAAACACAAATTTGATGATATCTGATACACCAGGACTCTAAGCAAGTTATATTCCAGATACTTAAAAGGCTTTTGGCCTTGCACAAAGTATATCCTATGCAATTTCTGATTTGCTGTGAAGTCAGAAAGCAGGTATACACTTTTAGGTTTTTTTGTTTGTTTGGTTGGTTTTCATTGTAGGGGAGGGATTTTTTATATATATAAACACACACACCACATGCTTGAAGGTCTTAATTTGGTTTCTTGGTCCAAGTTTAAAAGGTCCAAGCTTTCTATACAATACTGCATTTAGAAAAATTGTTTTTCCTAAATGACACAAGCAGATTTGGAGTGAAGAATTTACCCTTTCCAAATTTATAGTTTCATTGGTGAGCATGGTACTAGAAACCAGAATGCGCGCTACAATTTGAAGGTCCAGTTTCACCCAGGGGGTCCTGGGTAATACTGGAAAATGCCCCAAAAAAGATTTAAAGTAACGCTGGCACCTCGTTTACTTTTAATGAATACAAATTGACTATTGCAAACTGTTCTTTTTTCCTAATTAAAGTAACTTTCAGAGACAGAAATCCAGTACCTCTGCTTTCCTTTGGGTGTGCTCTTGTTTTTAACTTAGTTTTTTTAACAACTGTAGGACACTACCCTGAGACACTGTGTCTCAGCTTTTGTCTGTAGTTGAATTGTGCTTTAAAAAAAAAAATGGGAAAGAAAATAACTGTATAAAGCCAGTATATTCTGTTTTTGAAACAGCACCTCTAGTGCAATACTTTTTCTGGTGTATTCTATCCATTACTCTACTCTGTGTTTGTCATTCCACAGCTGGCTTTGACATGCCTGTGAAAACAGGAACCGCCACTTTAATTTTCATTGCAGACTTGTAGTATGTCAGTTGCAATTCCATTGTAAGCTTTATTTTTTAAATTTCACTTTAAGTAGCAAATTTTATCTCCTGGTGGTAGAATATCCCCAAAAAAATAGCCCAAACTACTGTTAAACCATTTGGTTTTAATGCTTAAATTGGGGGTGGTTTTTTTCTTCCTGGTTTTTAAATAAAAATATTTTAAGGGTAAATCTCTAAATGGGTGCACATTTGTAAGTCTGGCTAATTCTTAATATGCTAATTGAACATTTCCTGCTATTTTAAAGTTCTGTACAGTGAAGCTTTTAAGAACAGTTGTTCTGTTTTCTGGGGAGCTGGGGCATATGTGTGCAGAGTGAGCATGGAGATGATACGGTAACGGTGGGAGTGTCCCAGCGACACAAGGTGTCTGGGATGATGCCCTCAGGAAGGAGTTCTCTGCTTCATTTGTCATTACGTGGGTTTAAGAGGAACCTTTTTAAATGTCCCAGAATCATTCTCTGTGCTTTGGGAAACTTCATAATATTTACACGCTGTTAATAAATTTGTTAACTGAAGTTTACAAGATGAAGGGCTTCTCTTGTCTGAATTTCTAATTTTAAGTCATAAAGTATAAGAATCTTCTTCCTAGAAGTAAAACGAAGCAGAATTAGGAGTCTGCTGTGGCTTTACCCTTCGCAGAGCTGGCAGTGCTGTTTGTTCAGCACCAAGTTTGTTCTTGCTTCTGCAGAGTAGCCCCGGCGTCACAGTATCTGAGCTGCTTGTGCCTGGGCAGCGTGCAGGTTTCTGACGAACGGACAGCTACAGACAAAAAGGAGTATTCGGGGAGTTGCTAACCGGGCCCGTTGACTCCTCGCAGGCAGCCCGTTAGCACGTGGCCAGTGCTGTGAGCATCCTTAACTGTAGCTGGAGCCTGACGGATAGGAACGGGTAATCCCACCTTTTCCTCATGACTGTGTCTCCAAGAGAGTCCCTAGTGAAGACAGTTGCTAAGCTGTGTTTCTTATCCTTGACTACCCAGCCCAGGGGTGAGGTGCCTTAACAGCGTTGTCGTGTGTCCAGAAATGAACTGAGTGTTCCTTCTGAAACCCCAGGCCCAGGGGGATGAGGAAGCAGGAGGTGCCTGGGCTCCTGCACTCTGAGAAGTGATGTCAATGTTGCATTTGCACAGGACTTAATTCCACACATGTGTGTGTTTATTCAATGAGCTTAGAATGACATTCGCATCTCAGCCGTTCCCAGGTTTCCAAGCTAAGTTAGCCACTGAATTTGAGTCAGGGAATTCCAAGTAAAAAGTTCAGATTAAGGTAAATTCTTTGTTCTGTGTTGCTGCTGTGACTTCAGAAAAAAAAAAAAAAATTATGAGAGCTCTTCGTGGAATTGAAATTTCTATTTAATGAAGAAGTATATAATTCCATTATTTATTTTTTTGAGGTTTGATTTATCTGGAAGCTTAAAAAGAATGTTTTATGTTTGTTAATAAAATCCCAATCACTTATCATATTTAACAGTAACTAAGATGCCTCATAGTTGGTAATGGGGGAATATAGCAGGTCCGCACTTGAATTTGATTGGCAGAGAAGCATTCCATGGCCACAAGATGAGTAGAAAGAATGAATATCTTCAGAAAATCAACTGATTGCCTTTTCCAGACTCTTAACGAAAAAGTTCAGCATATTATCAAATTTGTCCCTGATTCTTGTGTTTCTTTTCAAATTTATTGTTTGAAACTATTGCTAAATCTTTATAAAAATATATTTGGCACATACACCAAAGAAACCAGCTCCTAAAAGATTATGATCATTAGTGAACTGCAAACCTCGTCTTTTGAAAACAAGTCTCTTTTTTTGTAAATATTTGTGTTTATAAAATGTACAGCAGAGTAAGAGTGTTTTTTAGATTATTTAATTCCCATATTTTCTAAACTATTTACTACAGAATAACCCATGCTTGTTAGTTTGGAGGACTTAACTGTTTTATTTTTTAATTCATTATCAGTCATGCTTGGAGCAGCATTTCCGCTAGAGAATTCAGGGCTCTGGCAGTGCACGAGCACACATCCGGAGCACGAGCGAGTCTAGCATGGCTTGTCAGATGCACACCCTGAGAGGCGAGAATGTGTAGCGTAATTATCAGAGTGGACCTTATGAAATTGAGATTCTAACTTCCCTGCAGAATGGCTCATTAGCCCAGGAGGTGATTGGGATAAGGCCCTTTGCCCACAAATTTAGCTTTCATGTAACTCCCAGTGTGTTATATCATAATGTATTTTTGTTCTTCCTTTGTACTGTAAATTTTGCTTTGGGTCAATTTGAATTAAAAAAAAACAAATCTGGTTTAAAAGATTATGTTCGAATTGCATTTTATTTCTAGCCTGTCTTAATTTTTTAAAATATTTCCAGCTATTTGTTGAAAAGAAACAAAACTATCCTGCATCAGCAGCTGGGCTTCCTGGGAAATGGGTAAGAATGGGATACAGAAAACAGCCACTTGTGTTGACATGGGAAGAGCCAATTTTTATTTATTTCTAGTTTTTAAAAATGCATTCTACAAATGCCAACCAGCACCAGACTATCTGTGGAGTCTGGTTCGTGTTTATCACCTTTGTGTGGGGGAACCTTGACCAAAGAAGAAATTTGGACCATGGCATTCTAAACGCAGCACGGTAAATGTGGTCACAGCGTGCAGTTGCAGTAGTCTATGAGCCTTTGGAGCTGGAAGCAGAATAGCAGAGTTTCTCACTTCCTCTCTGTAATATCAGCGCAACTCGATTCAGGAGAAACCTCAACCTCATGCGAATGATGGCGTGCTAAAGAAAGGGAGGAGAGCCTGCTGGACACCCCGCTCAGGCTGGGGATACTTCGGAATTACAGCCTTGCTGCGTACTTGTCCAGGGTTTGGCACAAATGCGGGCCAAGAGTGGGACATTTGAAACAATTTCTGATGGTCAGCCAGGGAGTTCAGATTTGAAAAATAGTTGTGTTCCTTGGAAATCTTAAAGTCATTCCTTTTCCAGTATGATGTAAGAAGTATATTATTTTCTCAGCTGAAAGATAGTTTACAAAAGTGGCTTACTGTAGCTATTGATAAAATAGATTATCTACTTGATAAAAGAAATATTTCCACGTCTCATGCAGTTGGGAATCCAAGGTGAAAGAAAATAGGCTTGTATCATCTGACTGTTTATGTAACTTACCGTAACTCTGTTCCCTTAAGCAGAAGAAATGACACTTTATTTGATGTTAGAGTTTTTGTTAGTTTAAGCACCAATAACGATGTTAAAGTTATTAAAGATGTTAAGTGACCTGTCAGGTCTCTTAAATCTTAATCAGAACAAAGGGTCATCCCGGTAGAGTGGCATAGCCACCAGCTACTTGGGAGGCTGAGACAGGAAGATTGTAAGTTTGTGGCCAGCCTAAGCAAATTACCAAAAATAAAAGGGGAGGAGTAGGGAGGGGGGAGCAGGCTAAAGATGAAATTCAACAGAAGATCTGCTTGCCTATCATACACAAGGGCCTGGGTTCAATTCCCACTACCGCAGTGTCAGCCAGTGTGGTAGCACTGCACCTCAGCACTGCACCTCCATATGTCACAGGGAAATAGTGTTCCATGTTTTGTACTCTGTTTCTTAAAGACAGTGGTGTGTTCCATACATAATCTTCTGGAAGAACTGTGTGACTTTGGCATGTAGCTTACTTTCTGAATCACATTGGAAAAGGCGTTGATTTGTGAATGACCTCTAAGAGAGCATCCCCATCGGACCAAAACCCCGAACCCTGCCCTGTTGCTGCTGTGCTTGGTCTCTCACTACCCTGGCAGGTGTTTAGTACTTACTCAGCTCTACCCAGAGTATCTTGCAGTGCATCTAAATCATCTGTCTTCAAGCAAAACAATTTTTCAATTCTGAAAATCCATAAAGCATCTGAAGTAAAGGAGCTGATTAAAGCAAATCATTTTTCTGTTACAAATATGACCTGTGATCATAACCACTGTGATGATTATAACCAATTTATCTAAAACCAGTGTTTTAAATTAAATCTTGGTTCTAGTATCTTAAAATCCTACTTGGGAACTTTTTATTAGGAAGTTGTTTTAAAGTAGTGTGGATATAATTTATTTGACATCACATTGAGAAGTAGTGACATGATTCACTTCTGTGAAACAGCATTTTTCTGAATCGGAACAGAGATGGCTGAGTTTGGACAGCAGGATTCAGTTTAGGTTGAGAAGTTTAGGTTGGGCTACGTGATAAGTCAGTAGACTGAGCCTTTGTGACTGGTACAGAGGTAATCCAGCTGCAGATACTTCATATTTTACCCGCTAACCCAGCTGCGGATGTGTCCTATTTTATCTGGCGAGCGGAGTCATATTTGTCTTGCTGCTCAGTCTTGAGCTAAAGTTGCTTTTCTTCCTCTTAGAATTTCGGGTCAGGACACTGCTTCCTTTTTCTTTTTCTTTACCCGGAAAAGGAACACGTGGCGGGCATGGCTTTACTGTACATGACTGTTTAGATTTCTCTAGAGAGTTTCTTGATTTCCCCTCCCTTAATTTTAGTCACTTAGACCTTTAGCAAAGTAGATGCTTACGTGCAAGTACGGACTCGGCTTTCTGAAGACCTTGTGCTTTAATGTGTCCATTTTAGAGTTCCAGAATTCTTGTTTCCTGAGCCTTACCTGGGTAGGAATATGGCTCAGTATTTTGGAAGAAAGCCTGATTTGGGCTATAGCCATTTTCCATCTTGGGTAGCAGTTGAGAGGAACAGATTACATTCTTCCTGATTAATTAGGGATGTTCTTAAACTATTTTCTCTGAATACAGTGGGTAGGCAGCTCCTTAGGAACAGACACTAGGTCTTATTTGCCTGACTCTCAGTGTTTACCAAAAGTGCCCTTTTCCCAGGGTTTTAGCTGTGTGGCCATTGGTCCTTACCCCATGACTGTTCCAGCCTGCGAGGACCCCGTGGGTGGGTAACGGCCACTGCTTTTGCTGGCTGCACATCTCAGGTGAGTGTAAGTGGCCCTACTGCTGCTGGTATTGCCTTTTGTTGTTCTTGCTTCCTCCCCTTGACCCCTACCCCTTCAGCCTCCCTTCCATCACAGTGGCCAGTCAGTGGACCCTCGTGATCCACGTGTGTGTGGTGTCATGGCGGTGAGCTTCAAGAGACCCTACTGACTCTGGCTGCAGGGAGCTGTATCCCTCCCTGAGCTCCTTTGAGGAGCACTTAGAGCCTCCAGAGGAGGCAGTTGAACCTTACAGAGGCCCAGCTGAGAGCTTCTGCAGGGACACACCCCCACGTCCCCATGCACCCCATGGCTTCTCAGGTTCTCAGAGCGGCTGGCTGGGGACTGAGGTGGAGCCCTCCCATCACGTCTCACGTGCCCTTTCTGCAGTTTTTCATGTCCTGCACAAATGGAATATGTGTGTGTGTGCGTGTGCATGTGTGTGCGTGTGCGATGGAACCCACAGCTTCACACATGCTAGGCAAGCACTCTGCCGCTGGGCTGTACATCCCCACACTGGTGTAAATGTCCTATGTAATAGTCGTTTGTCCTTTTTGCTTGAGCCATTTCTGCTCTCCCTGTAGGCTTCCTGGCCTATCACCTTTACAGTATCAGTATTTTCAGATACTGGTGGGCAGGCTGAACAGTTGAGGTGCTTTAGCAGCTGTGGCTGAGCGTTGAATCACTGGTACTGTGGGGTGTAGAAGCCAGGCCTTCCTTACCTTTCACTGGATCTTCAGCTCCCTGCAATTTCTGTTGTTTGCCAGGGAACAGAGATCAGCCCACCTCCAAGAGAACAATAACAGAACGGCATGTGTGCCGGCACAAACTGGTGAGGGTTTCACAGTTAATACTTCCTACATTTAAAGCTGCACATCCGGGGCTGGGGATTTAGCTCAGCCGCAAAAGCGCCTGCCTGGCAAGCGTAAGGTCATGAGTTCGGTTCCTGGTACCGGAGGAAAAAAAAGAAAAAACAAAAACCAAAAAACAAAATAAAGCTGCACATCCGTAAAATGCCCATAACATCCTATGAAGCATGTTCTGAGAGTTCAGTCTGGGACTCCACTATGAGATTTTGGATAATCTTGACGTTACTTAATCTGGAGGCTTCTGGAGTTTATGGAAAAGTAGACAGGTAAGTTAAATTAGTGTGCAGACCTTCAGGTTATCTAGAAAGTAAAAGAGACTGCCAGGGTAGATGTGGGCTCAGTGTAGTTACTGACTTCGAGAATGTCAGGTAGTTGGAGTTTACCCTGATATTCCAGCCCTGGAATCTAAGGTGACAGTACTGTCTCCCAGGAAGTACTGTTGGCTCAAATATCCTCTGGCCCTAAGCGCTGGGTGGGGAATGGCCCTAGAGGGGCCAGCAGCCTATGGACGGTGGGAATCTGGCCCTGGGCTTTGTAGCCCCACAACTAAAGCAGTGCTTTGTGTAGTCACTGGCTGGCAATTGTTGGGTGGGTGAAGGGTGGGTGAAGCAGCCCTGGAACTATCATAGGGTCACTCAGTTGCTGCCCCTAACCAGAAAGGACTGAGCATGATCGGTTCCAGTTCATACACTGTGAGGTCACTTTACACCTGTTCTCATGCTCTCACCCTGCAAGTTCTGGCCACTTCCACAGAGAAGATCGTCCCTCTGCTCCCCCACCCCTTCCCCGCCTTCTCACGGGGAGGCTTCCCCAAGCCTCTGAGCTGGCATGACTCACCCTTTCCTGGGTTCCCACAGACACCCTTTCTGACATGTGTCCCACTGTCCTGTTCTTTGTGTGTCCTTGTACTCCTCAGGGCTCTCATTGCAGGACTGGGAACCCCTCTAAGTACAAGGGACCATTCCCAAGAAGAGGCTTTGTGGCCACAGTGTCAAAGGGCGCTGCAACCCCAGTGGGGAGATGGGGTAGGAATTGAGTTTCCCCGTGGTGGTTCGAGTGTCTGTCTGCTCTCCCCTGAGAGCGCTGCCTGTATTGCATGCGCTGCGCTGAGGCGGTGACGTGAGTGTCCCACACTGTCTCCTGCCCTCAGTGTCCCCACCTGTCTCAGCTCAGGCTGGGTGGGACTGAGAACCTGCTTTTTGTTCCCTGCTTCCTCCCTGGGTTGCTCAGCTGGCTGTCACTAACAAATGCTGAGCTAATCGGCTTATGAAAGACAGGAAGGGTGTTGTGTGGCTCCCAGTTGGCCCCGGTGTTTCTGGCTCCAGCGGCGCTTTATGGAGGGTGCATGTAGTGGGTCCATGCTCTCAGTCCTGGGCTGGAAAGTGAGAGCAACACTGAGGTCCTGTTATGGGGTAGCTTGTTTCCAAAAAGTGGCTTGCCAGCTAAACATTACTGGGTTCAGGAGGCTCTCCTC